ATTATTGCTTAATTGATGTTTAATAGCTTGGTTTAATTGCTGACAAAACTAAAACTAATTTTAAGAAATTAAACCTGAACGGAACTTGTAAAATGGCATAAGCACCATACTAATTAAATGTTTTTATCTCTTTAAAATTAAATTATTAAAAACATATATATATATTTTGGTAAGTAAAATAAAGCAGAAATAAACTCAAATAAAAATATTCCGTGAAAGAAAAGATGTTTTTAGATTGACAAGGTTGAAATATATAATCCATATTTAAAAATCTATAAAAATTTAAAAGTAAATACAAATATTAAAAGAAATTATTTAAATTATTTACAAATATTATTAGTTAAAATAAAATAACATTAAAACATATAAATATAAAATTATATATTTATGTTTTATAAATATACTCAATATATATGCTATATACATTTCTAGAGCGCCAAATACGTCCCAGTAGCTGTTTTTTTTTTTTCATTTTTTGTTTTCGCGAATCCACCAGAGGCCACTGTGTAGATATCAAATTTCTCTTGCGAGTGCCATTCGCGCCTGCTGTTCTTGCATAAATCCACCAGAGGCCGCTGTCGTCTGACTGACTGATTGACCAGCCTGATCTCACAAGAAAACGTAAGTATTTTATGGTTTGCCAGTTTAGTGGCTAATTTGTACGAATTCGTACGAGTTCAGTCGTACGAAATTGTACGATTTTAAAAGGAGGCGTGGCACCCAACCCCACCCCTAAACCCAACCGTCATTCGCGGATGAGCAAATCGTACTAAAATGTACGAATTAGATCGTACGAATTCGTACGAATTAGCAACTAAATGAAAAAGTTACGAATTGCCGTGAGATTGTGTTGGACTGACTGATCATCTGACTGATCGAGTGACCCACCCTTCTCCTTCCCTAAACCTAACCAATAGTGTTTTTGAAAAGCACCAATTGACCCGATCACCCCCTTCCCCAAACCCAACCGAAAGTGTTTTCAAAAGCAATGCAGAAAAAGAAAAGCCCTCTGCAGATTTTTTTAACACGTTTTGCCACATTCTCACTCTGTTATTTACTTGTTTATTTTATTTTTGGGGTTTTGTTTTTGTCCTACCTGCTTTCTGGAATCGTTCTTCGCCGGACTCGAACGCTGTCGTCATACTCAGCTCACCTCTGCATCTCAAGTCTGCTGATGTATGCGATGAGGTATTGGACTACGGTGGGAGAGCGACCATACGAAGGTAAGCAGTCAGCCGGTAAGCGCAAAAAGGAACGGCGCCCCGTAGCATTCATTTTAAAGACGAAATGCAGCCATACATACCTCTGGCTTCATAATTCAGGATCCCCAGAAATGTATATAGGGCTACGTTTACACAATGATCCTATGTTGCTTTTAACCCAATAGATTAAGAATGTAGTGAACAAGTTGCGAGCTATTTAATAAAACTGAGTCCGTCCCCGCAGTAAACCTCGTGTGTTTGTGTTGATTTTGTATGAACTCCGGCTAAATGTTGAGCTGTTTGGAGCAGAGGCAGGTGTTTGTTTCAGCTCATCTGTGCTTTTGCCTACTGTTCGCACTAACCGCTCGACACATAACGCCGCCATTGTCTCTACTGTATTTGATTTCTTATTCAAGATCAATATTTACCCAGCAGCCCCCGGGGCTCAGGATTACCTCATATTCTCCAGGTCCAGCTGTGCTTTCTCAGCTTCTCCATAGTGACCTCAGGAATGTGCACATCATGTTTATCCTCCTGCCAGGAAAACACAGAGAGAGAGAGATTAAGGAGAGGTTTCTGCTCTTCACACACACACTCACACACACACACACACACACCTGTCTGAAGTAAGTGCTCTGTATTAAAATGAAAAGCTTTTCTTGACATGATTTGCTCTGTCAGTATGTTTTCGTGTCTTTAGTTTCACCATTTGATCAAAGCTACATTAGAAACAGTGTTATTGTGAGGAATAAAGGGCACCTATTATGCAAAATTCACATTTATAAGGGGTTTAAACACAGTTGTTTGTCAGCATTGTGTGAATATAAGCAGCTTCTAATGGTAAACATGTATTAATTGTATTTTTTTATAATCAGACTTGATATAAACAGTCTGCAGAAACACTCTGATTGACATTTTCCCTTCATACGTGTCATCGGAGGGAGAAAGCCCCGCCCACTAGTGACCATCTCTCCCTTATTAGCATAGGAAGTTAGTCTTGTTTTTGAATCTGCCACTATGCTGACACATAGGCATTTGTAGCTCCGCCCTCTTTTGAAAAGAGCACAGTCTCATTTGAATTTAAAGCAACAGTCACCAAAACACCAGAATTAGGATAAAAGCCTAAAAGGGACAAAAATTACAGTGTGTAAAGCATAATAAAACACTGTCTTTAACTGAACCTGCTTTTTTTTTACTTGATGCCATCATTTTACATCAATCATTATATCAAAAAGTCAAAATTGCCTAATTATAGTAGTTCTGACATGTTGCGTACACAGCATTATATAAAACAGTTGCTCCAAAGAATTTTAATTATAATGCAACTTTGCAATTAAACATTTGCTGGGGTGGAAAATGGAAACTTTCATAGCAACTGCAGCTGTTTTTATAGTCTGGATGTCTATTATTCAATATTAGCTTCTTTTAGATTTTATATTAGAATCTAGATTATCTTTCAAAACCAATATCACACTTACAATCATACACTGTAAATACATCCATATTATTTATGGTTAAAAAAGAAACAGCAGCTGTGACAATCATACATAATTTTAAAAAATCTGTAATATTTACGGTAAAAATGGCTTAGGTTGGTTAAAGTTTACTGTTAAAAATACAGTTGAGACCATAAAATTTCTAAATTAATTTATGATTTCTACTGTATTTTTATTGTAATATTTTTAGTTTTAGAGTAGTGGATATTAATTTTTCCCTAGATTTCTTTGTCATTGAACTCTTTCAGAAGCAATATCACACTCACAATCATACACTGTAAAACAAATATGTAATATTTACAGTAAATAAATACCAGCTGTGACAATCATACACTGTTAAAAATCTGTAATATTTACCGTAGAAAACAGCAGCTGTGATTGTTAGAACTTTACTATAAAAAATACAGTAGAGACCATAAAATGTGTAAATTCATTTAGCATTTCTTCCTTATGTTTAACGGTAAAGTTCTAGAGTTTTAGAGTCTGAATGTCAATTATTCAATATTTGTTTATCTTTTATTGAGCTCTTTCAAAACCAATATAATACTCGCAATCAAACACTGTCGAAAAAAAATCTGTAATATTTACTGTAAAAAAACGCAGCTGTGACAATCACAGTTAAAAAAAAAAGTTTAATATTTATGTTTAAATATGTCAGTTGTGGTTGTTAGGACTTTATAATTCAGTAAAACTGAAAATACAGTAAAAACTATGCAATTTTGAAATTATTATACGGTTTCTACTGTATTTTTAATTGTAAAATTCTAAAATTTTAGAGTCTGTATATAAATCATTCAATGTTAGATTTATTTGTTAAACCAATATCACACTGACAATCACACACTAAAATAAAATCTGTAACATTTACAGTAAATGGCAGCTGTGACTATCATCAATAACAGTAAAAACAGTAAATAAAAAAGGGCAACTGTGATTGTTAGAAATAACAACTTGCTAAAAATACAGTAGAAACCATCAATTAATTTTCTTTAAAAAGACAGTAAACTAACACATTTGATTAATTTATAGTATCATACACCAGTGTTTTGAAGAACTAACATTACACATCATTATACCTTCAGTACGCATACAAAAACACAACATAAGCAGGCGGTGATATTCATATGATGACCCAAAGCTCATCACAAACTTTTCCCACAAACAGAGAAGCATATTAATATATAGAAGATGCTCTGTGTACTAAACACCATCACGGTAACACAGATACATTTAAAGTAATGCAATAAACCTTATTTATCAACATTAGATGTATGATAAAACTCTAATGTACATCAATTATGAGAAGTAAACTAAAAACACAGTAAAAAAAGGCATAAAAAGTGTCATGCTGGGAATTCTGGGACAGTCAATTTATGGATATTTACCATGTTGTATAAAGGAAGCATACTGTTTACCAGGTAATAATTTTCACTGTAGCTTTTTTTTACAGTTTACATGACAGTTGTTGGTAAAATGTGGATATTGTGAACAGAAATTGATACTGAGTACTTTATAAAAATGGACTTACTGCCACAACTTCTCCTTCTCAAATGAGATGAAATTGGCCTGACATTTGGGCATAAATAGATGTTATCTTTTCTGGCATTGTGAAGTCATGCCAACATCATCTGCCCTTTAATGATGATGGAGTGTTTTGGTTTTCCGTCTGAATTTAGCAGATCAGCATGAGTGTTTCTTACCAACTGAAAGACCACATAAATCAGCAGCCACTGACTGTGTTCTGGGACACACACCAACCACACACACACACACACACACACACACACACACACACACACACATACACACACACACACACACACACACACACACACACACACACACACATCAGGATATTTGTCTGCTCCTCCACCTCAGCATTTAAGATCACACTCATCGTCTGACTAAAGAAAAAAACCTCTTGACTTATCCACTTATGTGTAAATGATGCTACTACCAGATAGATAGATAGATAGATAGATAGATTGATAGATAGATGGATAGATGGATGGATGGATGGATGGATGGATGGATGGATGGATGGATGGATGGATGGATGGATAGATAGATAGATAGATAGATAGAAGGATGGATGGATGGATGGATGGATGGAAGGACGGACGGATGGATGGATGACAGAAGGATGGATGGACAGAACGATGGATGGATGGATGGATGGATGGATGGATGGATGGATGGATGGATGGATGGATGGATGGATGGATGGATGGATGGATGGAGAGAGAGAGAGAGAGAGAGAGAGAGAGAGATGCTCTTTAAGGTGACCCGTGGAAACTTTGTCTTTTCCATGGCAACTGGCAGCTATTTGCACTAATTTGCAAAAGAAAAGCGGCTGAAGTGTAGTGTGCTCTTGGGGAATGTTATATTTGGTCTTTCTCGGTAATACAAGTCTCATTATTTAGCCTCTCAGTGCACCAGGAAACCGAACAAACAGACCGAGTGACCCTTTGTCAAGCACCTCTTCCCCTCTCAGGATCATTGCGGCCCTCGGCCATCAAATGGCACCAGCTCAGCTCAGAGAGGGCTTGTGGACTTTACTGGGTCTGTGGAATAGAGTTTGGAAAAGAGGACACGCTCGGGGTGGAATTGAGAGGCATATTAAAACAGCAGGATTGGGATCATGGACTGCTGCCAAAGAGGATCTCACTTCATGGATCTGACCGGATTTTCAAATTGAATTTGGTGATCCACGCGACCCAGACTGGACTGCCCGGCTTTTTAATAAACAGGAGGCTTTAATCTCTGGATGTCTGATAATGTGAAACACTTTCTACAGTAAAACGTCTCCTTTGAACACTATGGATATGCAAAGGTCATTTCTGAGTCCGTCAGTGTTTGATTTGGTCAGTGATGTGGAGTTCATGGAGTTGATGCCGAATAAATCTGCACAGGCATCCAATGAGACCCACAGCACCGATGGTAATGGACTGTACCAGGATTTGACTTCCATCTCAACGGCTCCAACAGATTACTTTTACGCGCTGTCGCCGAGCACCGGCTCTCCGGAAATCGCCGTTAACATGAAACCCAAGCGCAAACGCGTGATCAGCACCGTGCAGCGCCAGGCCGCAAACATCCGCGAGCGCAAACGGATGTTCAGCCTGAACGAGGCGTTTGACCGGCTGCGCAGGAGGGTTCCCACGTTCGCCTACGAGAAAAGACTGTCTCGGATAGAGACTCTGCGGCTCGCCATCGTCTATATAGCCTTCATGACGGACATACTGGAGAACAGCTGAACTCAGATTGGGTTATTAATTGCATTTCTTTCAAAACGCGGTAAAAAGCGATTTTACTTTACTTTAGGGGGTAAACTCGTTGCCTTAAACCCAACAAGTTGATTTCACTTTAAAAAGAGTCAGTAAACCAATGACTTAACTTTTATCATTGTGCACATAGTTTTGTTTGCTTAAAATAGACATCTAAACTAAAAATGGGAACGAGTTTACTCTCTTTTTTAAATTAATCAACTAATCGCTTTTTTCAGTGTAAGGATCTTCAAAATTATAGTAAAATATTGATTAATTATTATTTCTTTGGTCCTACCTCTACTGTTAAAAACTGAACAGCAATTTTAGGTATTTCACAAATAAATATTTGAAGTTTAAAACTGCTGTAGACTTTAGTCCAAAACTTTTCCAATAATTAAGCTATCCAATTATGACATGTCGGAATAGAGTCGCTACTTTAAAGAAATATTTTAAAAATTCATTCTAATTATTATTTATTTTGTCCTGCCTTTATGGCTTCGATGGAGTTAATTATTAAAAACTGAACAGCAATTTTAGGCGTTCATATAAAGCCGTATAGCTGTTTACAAATATAATAGCCTGATGCTTAAAACTGTTGAGACTTCAGTCCAAAACTTTTCCCAGAATTAAGCTATCCATTAGGCTATGACATGTTGGAATAGAATGTATTGCCAGAAACTCAGCCTTGGCTCAGTTGGCGTTTCTGTGTGGAGTTTGCATGTTCTCCCTGCGTTCGCGTGGGTTTCCTCCGGGTGTTCCGGTTTCCCCCACAGTCCAAAGACATGCGGTGCAGGTGAATTGGGTAGGCTAAATTGTCCATAGTGTATGAGTGTGTGTGTGAATGTGTGGATGTTTCCCAGAGATGGGTTGCGGCTGGAAGGGCATCCGCTGCGTAAAAGTAAGTTGGCAGTTCATTCCGCTGTGGCGACCCCGGATTAATAAAGGGACTAAGCCGACAAGAAAATTCATGAATGATGCACGATTCATTCAATGTACGATTTTTAAAAGGAGGCGTGGCACCAAACCCCACCCCTAAACCTAAACGTCATTGGGGGATGAGCAAAGCGTATTGTATGAATGAGATCATATGAATTTATATGCATTAGCCACTAAATCAAATGTTAGCTGCCGTGACATAGCGCTGGTATTGCTGCTAGACAGTTTTTAAGGGTAGCTCAAATGTTTGAATAATGCTCCAACAATTGTTGCCTATACTATACCATTAATTGGTAATATTCATTAATTTGGAGTGATGCAATTATGTAAATTGATATGATATAATATAAATTAGCTACTGTATTTGGATTTTTGATACAGGGTTTGGGTGATTGATGGTTTAGGGGGTTATAGACTTGCTTCTGAAAGGGCTCAGAATGCCATGGCAAAGCGTTTTGTATGAATATTTAATCATGTGCAGCGCAAGTGAGCAGCTCATAATAACGGAGTTTTCAGTGTTTCTGCTAAGTTCGCAAATGATTCACACTATATAGACCTTACTCTATATTTTGAGCCTGGGTTGCAATATCACTTGCAAAAAGCGTCAGCACACAAATCTGGCCACGTCAAAAGCCCTTTTAATGATTGCAGATTAATCACTGTGATGGGTTTGGCAATATAGCCAATATATTCAGGACTAAATGTTTCAGTGTTTTATGATCTCAATCATCAGCCTCATCACTTTGACTTGATGGCATTTTAGTGTTTGTCAAGAAATGCATTTATTTCTGTTCTTTTTTTATTTTATTTAAAATCCAGAAAACTGTAATGCTAAATGCTGATCCACACTAGGCCTAACATATTTTGAGCCTGAGTTGCAATATCATTAACTTGCTAAATGCGCCAACACTCTTGCCCTTTTTGTGATGAGTATGTTTTATAAATCTGTTTTTAACAACAAAAATAATCATTAAAAATGAAGCTTCCTTACACGGCCTTCTGCCTAAAGGAAATCTCCATTACATTTGAATGAAAAAACTATTTATTTTTGTAATTGTCCTGTTGTTGTAAATAACATCACATTTGATAGTATTTATTATCACATTTATTGAATTTTGATTAATACAAATTTATGAATAAGTTTATCAATTTAACGCAGTGGGTAGCACAATTATCTCACATCAAGAAGGTCGAGCTCCGGCTGGGTCAGTTGGCATTTCTGTGTAGAGTTTGCATGTTCGTGCATGTGGGTTTCGTCCGGGTGCTCCGGTTTCCCAAAAACGTAGTGAGTTGGATAAGCTAAATTGTCCGTATTCGTGTGAATGAGAGGGTATGGATGTTTCCCAGTGGTGGGTTGCAGCTGGAAGGGCATCGGCTATGTAAAATGTTGGAAAAGTTGGTGGTTCATTCCGCTGTGGCGGCCCCTGATTTAAAAAGGGACTAAGCCGAAAAAAATGAATGATTGAAAATAAGTTTTACTTTCTGTAGTTTTCTGAATGCTAAATTAACCTAGTCAGAATACAACACTATACACACTGTCATGCCGATTGTATTTGAATTAGATGCGTTCCCAAATTTGTCTTGCCTGTTTTAAAGGATAGAATGCGCATAGTTTCGTGGCTGGTTTAAAAAAAACATTTATTTCTGAAGTCACCTGTCAGGTGTGGCAAGATTTAGACCCTGTTACAGGTGCGTTCATTCTCTGCAGGGAGGAATTTGAATACTTTTAGACTCGATCATTTCTATCATTTATTGATCAAGTATTATCGCCAGGCTGATTTCACTAAGTAAGACATGTTCCTGGATGAACATCTATGCAGATCCTAAAACAACATTTCAATCAGCCAATCAGAGTTAAGGAATACTTTGCAGTTTATGTTAAGTTTACACTTCTACATGATTGTTATCCAATTATTATTCCCCTCTGATTTTGGGAATAATTTAGTTATGGTTGGGTTTAGGGGTATGTGTTATATTTTTCAACAAAAATGATGTTCCATGATCAACATAGATGTATCGTACTTGGCAAAATCATGACGTGCCAAGTATTAAATGGATCACTGGTCGGTGCACTTAGGGTGAATCTTCAAGTCACACACAGATTTACAAGTGATGCATAAGTTTCAACCGTGCGCCCTCTTGCGGAATCTTAAAACGTTGTTTTGGCATTTGTGGTCTTGTGGCATGCATTATAGTAGCCTTTTGGTGGTTACATTTGAATGCATAATATAACTTTTACAGAAACCGAGGTGAGCCTTACGTTTGTGTGGTTTGCGCAGATAATGCAGACTCTGGATGTGAACGCAAAAGGCCAGTTTGGGAGTGTGTTTGTGTTGGACTGAAGAGGCCACACAGTTTGTGCGTCGTCTGCGCTTGGCGACCCGCTGCGTATGAAAACCGTGCAGAAGGAAACCTGACTCTGCAATAACACTAACACAGACATGCATTTCAGAGCATGTTCAAATAAACAATGAGGTCTGCTTAGCCAACCCAGATTCACTCTTCTTTTACTGTGACTTGAGGAGGATTTCGGCACACTGGCTGAGAATAATGACACAGTTCTCCAGAGCTGCCAGGGTGTAAATTGGCAGAACATTTCATTAATGCATTAACGACATGATTGATGCTGTAAATGTAAATCCACTAAAAGAAAAGCTTTGATTTTGACATTTTATGTGCATTCAGCATTTTTGGAGGGGTTTTGATCCAAGGTTGCCAGGTCGCAAATCATAAAGTCTCTCGGCTCATTCCAGAAAGCAGACTGAAATCTGGCCAACTGAAAAGCCCTTTTAATGATTACAGATTAATCACTGTGATGGATTTGGCTATACAGCCAATATATTCAGGACTAAATGTTTCAGTGTTTTATGATCTCAATCACCAGCCTCATTACTTTGACTTGATGGCATTTTAGTGTTTGTCAGCATGCATTCATTTCTGTTCTGTTTAATTTAAAATGCAGAAAACTGTGATGCTAAAAATCAGATCATCAGCTCATTCATTCAACTGTACTTCATCTGAATATTTTGAAATGGTTAATAGTACTTGATTGTTGTGTTTTAACCAATGCAAAATACTCTTTTCAGTTAGATTATGTAGTTGTATTAACAGTACATCTGCATCTGAGTCTAAAATATCAGCAGATCATCAGTTCATTTGTCATGATGAATCAGTCTACAATTAATTTGTCAGCGCAAGTCTCAGTATTTTCGTTGGATCACTATTCTGACATGTCATGAATGGATGATGGATGCTCATTTAGATATATTTGGCTATTTCTTTGACACAAAAAAAAGGATTTTCAATTCTATTTTAATGCATTTCAATGATATTAACATCAACAGCGTGCCTATGTTGTGTTTATTTTAAATGAAGCGCTTTGATTGGCTCAGACGTTTGATTCTTGGTATAACGGAACCCTTTGGATCGCGGTCCCCTCCCGCCTCTCCCTTCTTACATCACTCAGCTTCTCGTCCAATCGCAGGCCAGCCCAAAAAGTTAGCTCCTTCCAGACTATAAGATCCTGTAAACTCCCCTTCGAGTTTGAGAAAGCCCTCCGTGACGCAGGAGGAGACGCGCTGAGAGGGACCGAGCCTCTGACCCCATTCCGTCGGACTCAGGGAAGCCACGACCCGCAATCTGAGCTTTTCCAGAGGTGATGTTTGAGGAAGAGGCGATGCACGAGGACTCCAGCTCTCCAGAGTCTCCGGTGGACAGTCTGGGAAACAGCGAGGAGGAGCTCGACAGGCGACAACCGAAGCGCGTCAGCAGGAAAAAACGCGCCAGCCGCAAAAACGCCGAGGATTCCGACAGTCCCACGCCCGGGAAGAGGAGCAAGAAGTGCAGCAACAGCAGCAGCAGCCCGCAGTCTCTGGAGGACCTGCAGACGCAGCGCGTCATGGCGAACGTGCGCGAGCGTCAGAGGACTCAGTCTCTGAACGAGGCGTTCGCCTCCCTGCGCAAAATCATCCCCACCTTACCCTCGGACAAACTCAGCAAAATACAGACGCTCAAACTCGCGGCCCGGTACATTGACTTCCTCTGTCAGGTCCTGCAGAGCGATGAGCTGGACTCCAAGATGTCCAGCTGCAGTTATGTGGCGCACGAGAGACTCAGCTACGCGTTTTCTGTGTGGAGAATGGAGGGCGCGTGGTCCATGTCAACATCCCACTAACGCACGGATGCACGCGTTTGATGCAGCATGGTATGCGATGCAAAACTTTTTAAAGGCTCAAAAACTTGCACTTGAATATCAAGGGTTTTGGATAACCAGTCAAAAGTGTGGACACAATACGTTAGATTGATTATGAAACAGTTTCACATTCACGTTGTAGACAATTATACATACTCTGAAAATAATTATTCGTTGTATTTGTTTTTTAAGGTAAGTGATTGAAAACAATTTATATGGGCTTAATTTAAAGAAACAAATTAAATAATGTTCAGCTTAATTTGTTTGTTAAAATTCAGCCCATATAGATTGTTTGCGACTTACTTTAAACACGTAAATACAATGTGATTTATCTATATTTACCCATCAAACTCGTTCTTGAAAATCTCATGAAAATGGTTGATATCACAACATTAATTTTCATGTTTTCACGTGTTTTGGTGGCTCCATAATCCTCAACTTTTGAAGTTTCTCAGGTTTTAATGATTTTAAATGTTTGGCCATAATAAAGAATGAGTAGTTGTGTCCAAACTTTTGTCTGCTAATGTAGAACTAAATTAAAACCTATTTAAGCATACTTTATGCTTTAAATGTAATTCAGATTTTTAAAAACATATTCAAAATTTCAAATACCGAATTTGCACCTAAAATGCTTCATAATAATCTGGTGTTATTTATAAACAATCTTTTCCACTTCAGACAAACCAGTATTTACAGACTTTTTATGAACTGTTGTCTAGTAATAATTTAAAAGCAGTCAATGGTAGCTGTTTTATCACTTGAATAATGTTTTTTTATTTACTGTATAAAATAAGTACTGTTATTGTTTAGTAAAATAAATTAATGCATAATAATTATTAGATAAACATTGCATCAATGTCTAAACTAAAACCTTTTCCTTCGTTTTTTTAGATTCTCGGCCTGAGGAGCTGAACTCACTGGAAGGAGCGGCTCAAAACAAGGGCGAAAATAAGGATTATAAAGGGAAAATTCTGGAGCGTCATGACGTCGTTGCAAGCACTTACAGTTGTGAACTACGACATGGGAGCAGGAATTACAGTCAGATCTGTGCTGTTGTGACGGTGAATGTGGAAAACATGTGCTTCCGTCCACAAAACAGAGACTCGCTGCAGGAAAAGACGCTCCTGCGCTTCTGACAGCAACAACCAGCATGGCGTCATATTTTTTTCTCTGAAGGAAAACACACACACTCAACGAATGAAGGAAATCGGCTCATATCAGTGTTAACATTTTCTTTGATCGGTCTAAGAAAATACTTTTATTTATTTATTGATGATTGTCACAATGCAGAATAGATCTGGTGTCTACATGCATTTTCTATTTTAAATATGATGTAAATATCTGTATATTTTCTGCAATAAAAACATGATTTGAAATGCACCTGCTTTAGCATGTTGTCATTGCAGTTATTCGTTTTTAATGCACTGTAAAGTTATACAGAAGACTTTACGAAGAAACTACTGCAATGATCATTCGGTAAGATTATAATAATGAAAATTCCTGAATGATTTGCCGTTTTTAAAAATATATAAACTATATTAAGATTCGTTTTACAATGAAATACTTTCCTATTCAATGTGGCTCTCTCGGTTTATGTCGCAGATATCTTTAGGTAGGTTATTTAAATGGTGTTATAGAAAGTGCATTTGTTTATTGCAAATAAAGATATTTTTAATTATTCAACGATAACGCTGTAATTAATAATATCTACACTGTTAAAATTATGACCAATTAGTCCTGCAGCATATGTTTTGTTCATTGTACCTTATTAAATTAAGTTCTAACTTAATTTTATTAGCTGTTTAAGTCAGTTTAACATATTATAATATAAGGTCCATGGACTCATAAGATTAATTTGATTTAGCTTAAAAATTTAGGACAACCGGGATTTTTTACAATACTAAATAATCGTATGTTGTTAAATCTTTCAGAGTTATCGACTAAAATAAATTGGTTATCAAAAGTGCACAAACCCAAGCGTTCGGTTAAAAAGTCAATAACATTTACAATATTGTCCCAACATTGGGTTTGTCCTTTTTTGACAACCCAATATTTTAGAGTATATGCTATGCATTACAAAAAAAATTTATGTTATTTCGATCAAACATTTAGACGAAATACATAAAATCCTGAACTAACAAATTGGGTGACAGAAATTACATTTGTTTATTTCAGTTAATATTATTATTTAATATTTATTCTACTTATAAACACATCAGAAAGATAATAAAATATCTGATATTTCTAACGACTTTGTATTTTTCTTCGCGGGGTTTGAACCCAAAAGGACAGCATTTGACAGGCCTGGGAAAGCGTTTAGGATGTTGTGAGGAATCATTTGAAGGTGTGTAACGGGGTCCAAACATCTATGGAATTCACAGATGTCTATAAAATGAGGGGTCGGGAGGGTCACGGAGAGGTACAGCGGGTCAAAACAGCCAAACACGAGCAATTTACAACCAAGACCCTTTTACTGATTTTAGAGAAATAGTATAATGATTTATAAATCATCAAACATAATGATCTAATATTTAAAAAAAACTCTTAAACAGCCACTTTAAAATAGTTCACTATGAAAATGAGGGGTTGTCGTAACTCAGTGTTATGGCAAAAATGGGCAGCAGTTGTGTTTAAACGTGTAACTTAAATTTATTAAATAAAAAAAAATAACTTTTTTGTCAGTATTAGACACAATTTTGTTTTACAACAACCCACCATTTTTATTACTATTTTTTTTGTGAGTTAAGGAAAAGGAATGGTGGTTTTTAAATAGTTATTCTGAAGTAGGCCTATTATAACCCCCATAAAGTCAACATGATAACCTCACATACAACAGCTAAAAATCTCCAAATATTTTGTGCAGTAAGGAATTTTAAGATGGCTTGTTTTACGAGGCCCACAAGCCGTGTAATTTTAGGCGGGAATCTGGCGCGTTTGTTTTCCTCTGTCACCGGTTCCTCCAAACGTTAGCTTCGATCGGGTTCCAGTCAGAAACACGTTGAAATGACGCCTCAGTCCAGAGGTTTTGGGACTTGGCGATGGGGAGAGAGTGAAAGCGAGAGCCCAGGCACCTGAATCAAACTTATTTTTACCAGATGTTGTTAATATTTTTCTTAACGTCACGTGAATCGAACAGATGTTGAGCTGCGCGGACCCGCCTTCACAAGCGCGCGGGCTGACACGAATATATCCGTCGAGTTTCTCAAAAAGACGTTTGCTTCTGTGTGGGAAAGCCTAATGGAGGAATTATAAATCTGATGTTTGTGGGATATTTTCAGTAAAATACATCAATAGAAGGACATGGGAAAAACGTGGACTGGTTTTTCGTTTGTTCTGGATTTCTTCAATGGATTTCATCAGGGATTGAGGATGTTTTTCTGGTAGTTATTTCTTTAACAACCTCGATGATCATTTTAATTAGCATCTGGTCAATTTTAGTTTAAATGTCGACTGCTTTTTTTTATAAAAAATATTTTTTCCTGTTTTTTTTTTTTTGAATAAAAAGATATATGAATTATGAACTTGAATATCTGATTTTATTTCTGAAAACAAAACGCTTTTAAAAGACCTTATAGGGATTAATCCGACTGGAGTTTGTTTACACGAGGCCTTCAGCATGACAGTCTGAAATCCTCCATTGCCGTGAAGTGTAAAAAGCAGGAGTAAAACCGGAGTTAAACGATTTGACGAATGTTAATGTAAACGCGTCAGTTCTGACCTGCAGGGCAGTAAAAGATTCACCGAGCTGAATCGATTCACCATCTTCAAATGAGCATGTCCGTGTTGTGTTAAACTTGAGGAGGCGAACTCTTCTGTTCTGTGGACTTGACTGCGTGAAATTCCCGATCTCTGCATGGGATCTGCTCTTTCATGTGTGTTATCAGCCGCTGAGTGTTTGACCTGATGACTTTGACATCATGATTTAAAAATCAAAGGCCTCTGAAGACACCAGTGCATCTGCTCATCTGCTTTCACCAGATCAAAGTCTAGAGAAACCTGCAAACATGTAAGAAATGTGTAAAGAGATAATGGATTATAATGGTGAACGTAAATGACAAACTGTTGAACCGCATGTTACAGTTTTTGCTGCACAAAAACAATATTTTTTCTCTCTGCTTGTTTAAATTACAACAAATCTGGAGATTATTGCATTGTTTTATGATAAATCGACTTTAATTTGTATGTTGACTTAATCTATTTGTGTTAGGATAACATGAATGAATTTTGTGCGACGTAGTTCATTCATGTTGTCCTAACACAAATCGATTAAGTTAACTATTAACATTTAAGTGCATTGAACATAAAACATTTAAGTTGTCCCAAAAATGTAATCATATATTAGAACTAAACTTAATTATTTCAAATGTACACATAAATATATGTACGATTTTAATTCATATGCACAAAAATAAATAAAGCAAACTCAAAGTCAGAAAATTGATTTCATTTGTTTTTATAAATTATTCATCATAATGTACTGAATGATGGGAAAATGCAAAAAGGTGTACATTTTGTTAATACTTTTAAGTATATATATATGTATATATGTGTGTGTGTGTGTGTGTGTGTGTGTGTGTGTGTGTGTGTGTGTGTGTGTGTGTGTGCTATTAGAACTAAATATCTTTAATTAAATATCTGATTGTTATTCATAATCAAAAGAAAGAAATAAAAAAAGATTTTATACAAAATTATTGCTTAAAACAAAACAGGTGTATTTGCCGACATGTGCACGATCAGGTGCAAATAGTTTTTTGCAAAATAAAAATAAAATGTTTTTATTAATGTCAAATATTTAGAGTAACTCATATAATATCTCTAAGGACATGCACATCATTTATTACATTTATTTTTTACTATTTAAAAACCACACATTCCATCGTAACAATATTAGTTGACTCTGCACTGTAAACAAGTTCTTGCTGTCTTAAATGTTGTAGTTGAATCGATTTAGCTTTTCATCTCAATTTAAATCAATCAAAAAATTAAGTCAAACTTTGCAAAACTTATAAAAAAATGCCTTCGCAACCTGATTAACTTATTAGAATAAGTTAGAGCAACATAAAAATATTTGTTGTCTTGACTTTTTGTCGTCACATTTTTTAGTGTCACAATAGAATCATATTTATTGCATAAAAACAATACTTACGCATATCAACAAAATGCACAAATGTTATTTATGAAAGGTTAAGGTGGCGACAATGTGGTTAGCACTGTCGCCTCACAGCAGGAAGGTCGCTGATTCTGTGTGGAGTTTGCATGTTCTCCTCGTGTTGGTCGTGTTGGCGTTGGTCTCCCCTACAGTCAAAACACATGTGCTATAACTCATTTTATAGCTCTAAATTTAATTGGCCATAGTGTATGAGTGTGTTTGGGTGTTTCCCAGTGCTGGGTTGCAGCTGGAAGGCCATCCTCTGTGTAAAACATATGCTGGATAAGTTGGTGGTTTATTCCGCTGTGTTGACATGTGATGCATTAAGGGACTAAGCTGAAGGAAAATCAATGTAAGGTCAAAGGTCATCATTAGATGTGCATCCATAGCCGCCTTGGTAACATGACGTGGCTTTCTGCTGCCTTAATTCCATGTTTTTTTCTGCTCAATGGAAACTTTGAGCACACAATGATTCCTCAAACAAAGCGTGTCCGTCCTGGAAGACTAGATTAATATATGATTTCATTTGAGCGAAGGCCTTTTCATCTCTGATTTAGTGGGTTCTGGACTGTAAGCAGAACCACATGGATTGGACGCTTTCATGTCAGCGCAGCTCCCATAATAATATGGCGGAGATTCCAATCATATTTAAAATGATTATGAGCAGACAGATCTTGTGCGCCTGTGTTTTAATCCAGGCCAGATATTCATCGCACTGCATTTCCTTCGTAATCAATGCAGATTTGTTTGCACTATTATGCTGGTATTGCATTGCAGCACATCGGTTTCTCTTATGAAATGAGTCCTGTTAGATATTCTGCATTGATTGTTGTGTTCAGGATGCAAAAACAACTCGCATTACCACATTTCAGAGCTGTTTTTTTCTTTTATTTTTTATGATGGTCGGTTGTTTTGCTGCAAACAAGCCTCAGTAAGAATCTCAAGTGTTGCAACCTTTAAAAAAAAAAAGTGTAAATGTGACCGAGACATTTTATTGGTGTTAAAAGTCTTTCCACACTATAACAGGAATGCAGGATATTTTCAGAACTCTTGAGCAATATGAAAGCGCTGATGTTTTGAGGTTTGACGTATTTGATCCAGCTTTCCTTTGTTGGTCTTTTATTTTGCTATAATCTATTTTTTGATAAACAAGTCAATTTTGGTCAACGTAGTAGTTGTAAATCGAATCTGATTTTAAAAATGAACAGTTTAATGTGGCTTATTATTT